GTCACATTATAACGCCCTTACGGCTGAAAGGGCGAGCATGTTTGGTGGTATGCGGATTCGAACCCGCGACCCTCAGATTGTGAGTCGAGCGCCTTATCCACCTGGCCATGCCGGGCTGTTTTAATTAGAAGTATCACACAAAGCTACCTAGAGGGCTACCGACACATAACCATTTCCAATTCCGAACTGATAGATTATGGGGAAGCAATTAGTCAGTAATCACCAACCGAACAGTGTAACTTTAGAATTTACATTATATAGTTTGTCTAGAATAAAATGTTTGCAACTTTTCTCAATCTGTGAGTGCATAAATGCTCACATAAATTTAAACCATTATTTGATCAAACTTTGTGTGTGTTCGTTTATAACTGGAGAACAACTGTACCAAATGTCACCAAACCTAACGCGTACTTTAAAGCAATGTTTCTCGATACCAGGGGGCCGGGTTTGTTGCTTCTGTACACTGTCGCGGACCACTAAAATGCAAGTACAGTATAAAAACATGAGGATTTACATATGAATGTTCTGAAAGTGTTTGTTTTGTTTCGTGAAATTCTAAGGTCCGGCATGGTGGTTGTGATGGACCGGATACGTCAGTTAGTATACTTAAACATAATACAAATTATATTGGATTTAACCATGCCTCGTTAAGTCCACTGAAACTTAAAAATTGAAGTGTTTAGTCCGTGTTTTAAATTTAAGTTTTTAGTATATATTGGAAGAAAACTGAAGAATGAACGTGGTTAAGGATACTAAACTTAAGTAGTTTTAGACATTGGAATACATTGAAACTCAGTTTATGGTAATTAGATGTGGACGGGAATTTCACCCACGTTATTCATACTTCTTATAGTGATTTGGACGTTATAATAATTAGGTTAGGTGTGAATATGAAAGGAACCTACCCGTCGTCCTCTGAAGGTAGCGGTAGCTCTTTGTCGAAGCCAGCTTTTCCGAACAGCCAATATGTGGGTTGTTTTCCCTTACCCTAGAAGTATCAGCAAAAGGAAATAAAAATTAATACGTTTTAGAAATTAAATTTTCGAAAAGCTCTAAATCCTTGATCCTATATAATTCTAAGTTATTATTTATTAACTTAAAATGATGAAGTTATAATAAATGTAAAACAAAAAAAAAATGATGACAATAAAGAAAAACTGAAAGAGATGTATCAGACTCAGCTTCGACAAAACTAATTAGCTTAACAAACAATGGCAGATCTTTAAAACTGGATTCGTTACAGCTTTTGATGTTAACTGGATTCCCCCAGAAAAAAACCGTAGGAATCATTTAATTTGTCAGCCATCATTATAGAAGTAAAAATTTTCTCGCTAGAGACTGCTGATTAATAAATCATTTTGTCGATAAGTGCAAGACTGAAAATATGAGTTAAATGTACGACTAATCAGCCATTATTTCAATAATATATATATATATATCTTCATATACATAGATAGTTTACGTCATAAACCATGGGGGCTCTAAGCATTACTGAGTCAATAAACTGTAGTTAAAACTCTATCACTAAAAATAAGGTACCCAAGAAAACGACACTTCAATAGTCATTGGCGGCGCTACAAGGGGGCAAGGGACTTGCTATTCCCTCTCCCCCCAAAAGCTAGATATGTTAGAATGGCCAAAACCTTCTTATCCTTTCCAAGGCCTGTGAGTACTTTGAGGCTTCAAAACTCAATACAAAGTACTTTTTTGAAACCCAACGTTGGCTCATTGTAATTTAGCACGCTAAAATTTTTGTGGAAAAACGGGTCCTTTTAAAATTACACGTGAGGATAAGATATCTTGTTTTGCCCCCCAAAACTTTATT